TCTGGTTTGTCGAATTTATTTTTCAACCTCAGTGGCAGGTCGAGAATACTCCTTATTGCTCAAGCAGGTTGATTGTTTTTCACTTGGTGATGTAATATTGAATTTATTTTTCGACCTCGGTGGCAGGTTGAGTGTATCTATTATTGCTCGAGCAAGTTGACGTTTTTATTTGACTTCGTTTTGTCAAATGCAATTTTTCGACGTGAGTGAGTAGTCAGGACTTTCAGTCTTCGAGAGGATACACAACAGGCTTGAATTTCAATCTTGAACTAGGGGGCGACAGGATGAGGTAACCGGAAAGGTTTATTATTAATTGACAAAGCGGAATGTGTAAGTTCAAATTTTTAAATTCAAGACTTGGGAAAATCGGGCATATGGTTTTCGACTTCAGTCTCGGTTTTTGACTTTAACGGTGGATCATTCGACTTCGACCTCAGTGGTCATTCAATTTGCGGCCTCCGACCTCAGGGTCATTCGATGTTTGACCTCAACAGCAGATTAGTCAATTTTCGACCTCAACGGTCTCTCGATTACTCGGTTTTTGGTTTTCGGTTTTCGACCTCAACGGTCTCTCGACTCTCGGTTCCCGACTTTCAACCTCAACGGTCTCTCGATTCTCAATGGTCTCTCGACTCTCGTTTCCCGACTTTCGACCTCAGCGGTCTCTCGATTCTCGACTTTTGACTTCATCGGTGACTACTCAGTTTTCAGTTTTCGACCTCAGCGGTCTCTCGAATCTCGACTTTCAACCTCATCGACGATTACTCGATTTTCAGTTTTCGACCTTAGTGGTCTCTCAATTCTCGTTTTCGACCTCAGTGGTCTATCGGTTCTTGGTTTTCAACCTCAACTGTCATTCGGTTCTTGGATTAGGTTTTTCGACCTCAATTTGGTTCTCGACCTGGAGGTAGCATCGAGTTATTCAGTACCCAATCTCAAACAGAGTGCTCAATCTCAGAGACAAATCTTTTGGCATTCGACCCCAGTTTCGGTTCTCGATCTCGGATGCAGATCTTTTGGGTTTCGACTCTAGAGGCGGGTAACTTGGATTTCAATCTCAATGATCATCCGGCTTTCGATCCTCGACCCTAACAGAGGGTCGTGGACTTCGACCTTAAGGGCCATTCGGTGTTGGTGTTCGACCCAGAAGCGGGTCACTCGATTTTTGATCTTATTGGTCATCCGGCTTCCGATGCTTGACCCCAGTGGCGGGTCACTTAACTTTCAACCTCTACGACCATTAGGTGTTCAGTGTTGACTCTAGTGGCGAGTTGCTCTATTTTTCACTCTTGGATCGAGTTATGCTCACTCGACCAGAGTGGGGGGGACTAGATGATATAGCCACGGCTAGTACTGTCGGCTCGACCGGTAGTATCTAATATATCATGTCGTACTCGAACGGTTTTTATGGATATACATTGAAGAATACGCCTATACATGGGCTAAGATACTTGATATAATAATATGGGCTGAGCCCAACTAGGCCAGGCCCAACTTGGACTATAAGGTACACTCCCCATAAGGGGAAGAAGTTACTCATTTCCTCCATTCTCTCCTCATTCCATTACTACACTCTCTCCCTACTCTCTCTCTATGCATTCTCATATGAATCAAGTACTGACTTAAGCAACGGAGGCCCAAAGCCGGACACCCCTCCCGGGGTCTCTGGCTTTGGGTTCTTGCAAGTACGGTGGCCGTCCGAGTCGAGGGAGCCCGGGTGACATCTTTGTCCTATCACACTCGAATTGCAACTATTTTTTTACAAAAAAATATTCAACGTTTTAATAATTTTTATTTAAAATTTACATTATTTTATTGAAAAAATAATATAGATATGTATATATTATAATGTATAATTTAAATATGTAGTATGTAAATATTATTTAATATTATAATGTGTATATAGTTTACTTTGTAATTTAAATATTTAGCTTAAAAAATTATATTTTTCATAGTATATAAAAATAATATTTTTTATACTTATTATTAACATGCATTTATTTGAATTTTATTATAAATTATATATTTGACCATGTACTATCCTAAAAAACATTCAAAAATTATGAAATTACATATATGTCCATAAATGTTTTTGTCTAACACATTCCTCTAAATTAATATTAGAAAACAATTTGGTTGAAGGGATATTAAGAGCATGTTTGTTTATAGAATTTTTTGATTTTGTTTGGCTTTTTTGGTTTGGTTTGGTTAATTTTAAAAAAGGTGGTATGGTTAGTTGTTAGTGGATATATTAAAATAATATTTAAAATAAAATAATTAAAATGATTTGATATAAAAGTATGAGAGAGATAGTTTGATGTGATGATTAGTTAAAATAATGTGAGTGGATGAATAGTGAATTAAGGTTGATGTGGTGTGTATGAATGATTGATTGATAT